GGGTACGTGCTATGTTAATCCCAGTTTTTGTAATCAAACATTTTAATTAACTTAATGCAGAGGATAATACACGCTGAAAAAAGTAAAACAACTGTGTCATTTGTTTAAAGTACAATGTCATACTGATCTAGTTAAAATATTGCGGTTTCTAGTTTCAATGTTTTTTTATTTTATTTTAACTAAAAGCAAATGATACAGCTAATTGGTAAAACTAAAAGCAACACTTTGACTCAAAGAAATTATTTTACTTAAAACTAGAGCTCATGTGACCACTTGTCGTCACTTCGGGTCACTACCTATCGGTCAGTCGAATTGCCACCAATTAAGCCTCACTTTGAACTTTGTCTATCCGCCATTACAGATTACGCTGGAGCGGCACTGGCTTTAAGAAGACTCCTCCAACAACAAGGGCCCTGAAGAGAGCTCTAACGTCTGCGGGTGTATAAACTGACCTGAATGTGTTGACGTTTATTTTATTTTATTAACTGGTGTTAGGTATACTTATTACGTGCCCAATACTAGCAAGCCCCCATCTAGATCTTTTTTTGAAGGGGAACCCCCCCCCCCTCCCCCACCCCGTCTAAAACTATGGTAAAATAAAGTACTTAGACACACGGTTAACCCATCAAATTGAATTCTAGTTGCCAAAATATTTTTTGCCGCGTTTGTTCACCATAATAAGAGCAAAAATCTTAGAAGCGTATCTCAGATTGATGCAATGTAATTGAACGCCGCTATAACCGAGAACTTTTAGACAAATACCCCTGTGGCAGTGTCATCGATCCAATTTTAATTTATCAAAGTGAGAGGCTCCCATGAGCGGGTAAACCAATGTGCCCAAGCCCAAAGAGACAGGCAGATGTGAACACTTAGAGCTATTTTGCGTCGAGCGAGAAGTCCAGCAGCGTCCACATTCGAACAGTTAGCAGCGTGTTTCACGCGCCATTCATTCGTTAACTCGTTAAAACCGGCCTCTTATATGGCTCACCGTTTAGCATTTACGAAGCATTTTTGCCAATTTAATTTGTGAATTGTTTCAAACATTATTTGTTTCTGGTATTGTATTCTGTTGCATGAATGTCACCAGGTGGATATTGGATTGCACCAGGTGCAAGGCTGGCCCAAGCCAATTTTTTTGGATGCCCGTCCCCATCCATCAACGATTTACATACATACATACAAGAGAAGTAGATTTTTTTTAACATTGCTCTTAATAAAATAACATCACCTATTTTAAAATATAAAATAGAATATTTTCTTCATTTCATCATCGTTTCGTGACTGTCAACAAATCATGCCAGTGACTTACTGTTGCGACTTCTAATTGCATGAACCAAAGGGAGCAACTCGACATCTCTTCCAAATTTCTTCTTTTTTTCTGCCCTGTGCTCTGGATCACTGGTAATTTTGACATGTTCTCACAGTTTTCTGGGGTTTCATAAAAAAACAAAAAAACAAAAAAAAAAAAAAAAAAAAAATAATAATAATAATAAAATAAAATGCTCTGTATACCATTGAGCACAATGGATAAATGAGCAGTTTTGTCATGAAATGAGTACCAGATAAGGCTAAATAATGAGGTTACACACGTAATGCATGATAAGCGGTATTTGTTGCACATCCTTTTAAATGTGTGCTCTTCTCAACTGCCAACTCTTCCATCATCTTACTGAAAAAGAATAAATAACAGCGTGCAGTATTTTGAGTGCAAAAGAACTGCTTGGTGACGACCACACCGGCTGGCTTTAACGCTTGATAAAAAAACGCCGCCATGTTGACGAATCTCAAACCTTGATGTGTTATTACTCTGTCAAGAGATGTGGCAAGTGTCACCTTAAGGCAGTGGTTGGCAAACTAAGGCCCGCGGACCGCATTGGGCCCGTTGGTCTTTTTAATCCGGCCCGCCGAAGTTTGGTACACAATTAAGGTTCGATGTCAACGGTTGCATTCATTTCATTTGGACTTGTAATCACAGGCATTTCAACGCCAGATGGCGCATTGACTTGAAGTTGCACAGCACAGATGGCAACGGGGAGAGACAGAAAGAGAGATCTTATCTACAACCTATGGACCTCTGTCAATTGGAAATTCCCGCAATGAGAAACCTGTCACGGTTCTGTTTTCGGTCTGGCCAGCAGGTGGCATGAGCGGACTTCTGGGTGCACACCTGCTGCCAATCTATGATTATTAGACTCTGTATTTAAGGACTCTTCTCCGGTGCACCTGTTGTCGGAGTATTGTTTATGCCTTGCTGCTTCCTTGCTCAGAGACCCTTTGCTAAAGACCTTGTCGTTGTTTCGCTTTGAACTCTCGGTACGATTGATATTGTAAGTATGGTTTTTATTTTGTGATTCGGCTTTTGCTTGCGTGTATTTTGATACATTGTTTTTCGTTTGTATTCTCGGTTCTTGTTTTCACCCCTTGCCTTTTGTGCAAGCGCTTTTTGTTAATTGTTTTTTGTACTCCCTGGACCAGCGCTTTATGTTACTACTTTGTCGGTGCGATTTTTGTATGTTAAAACATTTTTGCTACGGAGACCTTGTTGGCGTCTACACTTTTTGGGATTCCAAACTTAATTCGGCTTGTCCGAATCGTGACATAACCTTTTTAGGTTGTGCCAATTACATGGAAACTTTTGCTTGCATGGCAGGAGATACTTTTTTTTTTTTTTTTTTTTTTTTTTTTAAATTCACAACATTCAACGCTGCTGAGTATTCTATGTGCTGTTCACGTTCACTTCTGTTATAGGAGTATATTGGGCTGGACAATGTACCGGTACACTTGTACAGATATTGACGTTTGATTGTCAGGTGTTCTCAAAGTGTGACTGGTTTTACTTTATTGTAGTTTTATTATACAGTGTAATTTACTTTTACGATGGTTAAAATTAAGAATGTTTAAAATGATATTTTTAAAAAAACACCTGTATAGGCATTAATTTTACATCGGCCACAGTTTGTGCTTTTTAAAAAAAAAAAAAGAGCTTGAGAAGATCATGTTGGCACATAATATTCACAATGGAGCAGCTGCATTTTGTTGCTTGGCAGGGTACGATGCACACAACAATTCAGCAGAAGGCATCAAGAATGTGCGCCTGCTGCTGGACGAGATTGATAAACAATGTTTTTTGGGGTTGAATAGTTCTCATCCGCACAGTCCTGTTGCACAGCAGCTGAAGCTGTAATTGGGTTCCCAAATGTTTTGGCCGCAGCTCGCCAACCGCATCCGGGATCAAAGCTGTGGTTAGATAAGCGAGAGATGGAGATAATGGCTGGCTCTTACCCTGCTACTCTCATGTCACTGATGGGGATTTAATTTCACAAAGACGACGTGGAATGAAAAGATAACTTGTTGATTTGGAGAAGAAATGAAAGAATCGAGGTTGACTGTTAGCTTATCTGGTAATGCCATTGCTGTGGCAAACTTCTCCTCGTCACCTTTATTGTGGGGAATGACTTGCGAGACACATGATACAATGATTCAACACCTTTTTACTGCAAAAGCTTATTTAAAAAAAATAAAAATACCCACATTGGAATCGATTAATTTTAGCAAAATTATTATTGTAAGATTTCTTGAAACAAATGCACATACTAGCCTAAAAAACACAGAAGTCTTAAACTATTGTGTATTTACTGGATATGTCCTACATCAATTTAATTACATAATCTGTAAAAAAAAAAAAATCAAGTTTTACACGTTAGGATTTTTTAAGGGAATAAATATTCAAGTGAAAAGGGCTTAAACAAAAATAGTTTGGGAGGAAGAAATGTCTCGGCAGACCAAAACAAGCGCATTTTACCTTGAGTGGAGATATTGTATCTTGGTTGGATTTTAGCTTTTGCAGTGTTGCTTGTCCATTTCTTTCCGGCAAAAGCGCAAACATCAGGTCAATTTCTGATATGCTATCGTTTCAGTTCATTCACAAGACAACCACAGAATCCGTGGCTCGGACCAATTTTTTTGTTGACCACACACACACACACACACACACACACACACACATACGGATTTCAATGGCAAATACAGAACAGGTTTAACACGATTTTCGGGCCAGACTGTTTTCCGAGCAGATGTGTGCGGATAAATATCTCAATAACACCCCACACCGCAGGACAATCGTTCAGCGACATTTGATAATTGGGCCTTTGCTGATGTTGTTGGGGATGGAAGAAAAATATTCAACTCTCAAATTTGGCCTGATTGTTTGAGCAGTCAACATTCATGTTCATCCATTCGAGCACACTGACAAATGAGCTCTTCAGAGACCAGAACATTCACAGATAAAAAATACGATCTCGGAAAAGCAATTTTTCCAAAATGATATTTACACTTTATTTATGCGGGGCTAACTCAATAAAACAGCCCATTGCCTGGCGAATGGTGACAGGATTATCAGGCAATAAGTCAGCGTGTTTCATATGAAAAGCAAAAGGAAACAGTCAGATCGGCACGATAGTAATCATAAGACAATATATCCAGAAGAAGAAGAAGAAGAAGAATACATTTTCTTTTCCATTAACTCTACATACATAGTGACGGTATTGTGCTTTGAGAAGACGTCTGCAACAAGAACAGAGATACGGAAACAGTTCAACGGCCCCACAACACAAAAGGAGTCCACTCCCCGACATTGTTCCTCGTTCCGAGGCCCCAGGTAGGGATGGACAGATAGATAGCTGGATGGATGATGAATTAATGTGTACAAATTAATAATAAAGCAACAAAACAAATACAGTGGATCCAAAAATCGATTTACCCCTCTTCAAATGACAAGTTTTTGTGATATATATAAAGAGCAAGATAAATCATTTAAAAACATTTTCAAACAATGTGACCTTTAACCTGTCTGACTGGATGAAAAAAAAACAAAAGAAAAGGAAAAATCAACAATTGGGATGATGTGGTTGCGCAAGTGTGCACACCCTCATAACTATGACATGGCTGTGTTCAGAATTGTTCAAACTCATTGGACGGTCACACATTTTCTGACGTGTTTGGGAGATTTTGTTATGGTCCAGTGAAAACAAGGAAGAACTTTTTGTCCATAATTCCAAAAGGTAAGTCTGGTGAAAAGAGAACACTGCTCATCATCAAAAGAACACCATACTTCAGTGAAATGGTGTTGGCAGCATCTTAGCAACTTTCAGATTGTTGTTGTATTTAAATTTTTTTTTTAAAGCTGGAACTGGGGCCTTCGTCAAGGTGGAGGAGATTTCTTAACAGTTTGATACGGCAGTGAGAGTTAACACACAACTTTCATTCTAAATATCAGGAAATGTCTACTAGAACAGCGGAAATTCATTCGAGGTTAATCAGAGGCATATTATCAGGTGTGTGCCATCTGTCATTTAACAGTTTTCATAGCGTAATTGGTACACGTGAACACAGCCACATCCCCACTTATTTTTAATTCCTCTCTCAAAGAATATTTTTTTTACTCTTGTCAAACAAGTCATAGGTTGCATTCATGGTAGAGAGTTTTTCAATGTTTTATCTTGGTCCATTTTTTTTATATGTATTAAAAAATGTCACATTTGAACAGCGGTGTGGAGACTTTGGATTTCCGCTACAGATGAACTTATGACAAATCAAGAGTGGAAAACGTATAGGCCAAAGTGTGTCGTCCACGCCAAGCGATCAGCAGACACGAAACATAGCGACTGATATGATGTCTGCTAACATGCATCCTTGGGCTGACTCGGGGAAGGATCCCTGAAAGCGATGTGAGAAGAGAGAACACAATTATTTCACCCTCACGCCTACTGTGGCCATCTTAGTTTGGATGACATTCAAAAGCAATTTAGATCTTGCTGTGACGCAGCATACGGAACCCTTGAAGTTTAACAGGACCGTTTGCTTGAAAGTATGATTAGAAACTAAAGGAACTGTTTGGATTATATAACATTCAATTGCAATAAGGTTGCGCTGGAAGTTTGAAAAGGGAGGTGGGTTGAAATTTTTGGGTCGGGAAAAAGAGGGAAGGAACTTGCCCAATTTGTTTGCAACTTATATTGGTTGTCTTGAATCATAAACCAATCCAAAGCAGTAGTTTTCTTGATGTGACATACAACAAGGAACTCTTGGAAGTTTCAAAGTGGACCGCATTGCAAATTTTTCTTGGGAGGGAGGAAAGGAACACACACTAATTTAGGGAATTTTTTTTTAATTACTGATGTAACATTCAAAAGCAATGTTTTTTTTTGCTGTGTCAGGTAACCTTGGAAGTTTAAAAATGGACTCGACCACATCTAACCTTGCACATTTTGAATCATACTATATAACATTCAAAAGCGAAATAAAGTTCTTACCATGAAACATAAGGAACCCTGTAAGTTACATGGGTAGAAAATTAATGGTATTTTCCATAATATAGTGGTGCCTTGAAGTACGAGTGAACTGACTTGCAAGTTTTTTTAGGTACAGGATGTTCTTCCAGTGTTCCCCCCGCACCCCCATTTGCTTTGCCTTGCCTTAGGAATGCCCCTGCTAGCTTAATGCTAACATATAATGGGAAACGGCATAAACGGGCTCAAGACTAACGTCTGTATGGTGATATGTTTTAAGCAATGAATTTTTGAACACAAACGGTGCAGCAACACTTTTAGTCAAACAATATAACAATAGTTACAGGCATATACTGTTTATCATCTGCAAAATAATACTATTACTGCATCTTACTGAGTCAGTAAATGTCTTTTTTTTTTTGTTTGGATGTGCATGATTTTATTATTCTCCTCCCGGTGACCAAGTTGCACACATCAGAAGGAGCCACAATTTATTCATCATGACCCACAAACTGTTTATTTCTTTACATTCTATTTGATCAACATTAATACTGCATGTTTTTAGAAAGTACAATATTATATTATTAGAATTCCTGGGGAAAGACAATTAGAGTGTTTTAGGCTATGATTGTGGACACAGAATAAATGAAACTTGTATCTGAAGTCACCTCTATGTGTCCCATTTGATTGCGAGCGAAAGTGCTGAGAAGTGTTGCTTTGCGGGGACGACAGAGGCATCTTTTGCATGGTTTTTGCATGCCCACAGAGACACACACACACACACACACACACACACACACACACACACACACGCATACACTGTATACTACATGAGATGCATCATCTTCCTCCTGCTGAATGAGGCAAACTTGGTAACTTTTGAATAGTATATTAATATACAGTAGATGTGTATATATACCCCATATCTAAAAAAAAGAAAACAACAAAAACCAAACTGAAAAGCAACAAAAATACATGCAAATGGAGGAATACAATCATGCATTTACACAGTGAGACCTGAATTTTCCGCCAATGCTCGCTTTGTGAACACACGCCGTGATGTCGCTACATGTACTTCGCAAAGGGGGATGTTTGTCCCTCTGCTGTATGAAGGTGGGGGCTTTCTTTGAAAATGTTTGATTTTTATTATATTGACTGTACAGTTTTCCTTTGTTCTCATGAGTATGTTTGAGAGACAGCGGTCCGAGTTTGCGTCTCCTTTGTGGCAGTGCTCCAGAAGGATAAATAAATTAGAGTCCTGCATGAAATGGATGTTTTGGGGTGCACTTTCCTCTCCACTAAGCCTGGGGCGACAGATTTCCTCCCATTTTTCTGGCTGAATTTCACGTACAAAAGTGCCTTTGTTTGGCCATGGCATTGGTTCCTCGTCCAGATAGTCTCGTTGTATGGTTTGGACTTTGGTTGCAGTAACGCACTCACGCACTCATTCAAGCTCAGCTCACGTTCAGCTCAGCAGGTGAAGTCCTCGAAGTTTCCCTGGGCCGGGTGATGAGGTAGCATGTTACCCGGGTACGTGGACGGCGTGCGCAGGTTGTCACACGGAGCCTAGCAGGAAGAGGAAAAACATAAAAACAGGAAAATGGTCATGAAGATGGATCTGAAAATGTTTTGTGCAGCTTGCCCTGTTGGTGTTTGAAAAAAAGACTGGGTGAACAAAAAAGCCCCAGAATCAACACACGCATTTGTTTGCTTGATATCAAATCACCGCAGAAGATTTTCAGGGAGCCATGAAAACATTCATAGCATTGTCAAAAGAACAATGCAAGATTTCACCTGTATGGACTCCATAAACATTCTCTTTCAAGACACGTCAACTGGCATTGTCACATGGTTTAATTCCACAACTGTCATAGAAAGTGGACTCATGCTGATTCCGGCAGTGGCCCACGGCATCTGATGTGTGTGTGTGTGTGTGTGTGTGTGTGTGTGTGTGTGTGCGTGTGCGTGTGCGTTTTTGACCCTGATACTGATTCCGATGCTGAAACTGTACTGGTACCATTTGAAAGTACAAGAGTAGTGCATTTTTTTTTCTTGTAATTCTAAAGAACTGCATATTCACTTGGATGTAAAATCACTGATGTCATGTCTTGGTCAGACACTGCTTAAAAACCTTTGTGAAACAGGAAAAAAGACTAATACTGAATAAGGTATCTTTGAGAGAGATTGTGACATTCAGGCATATCTAACGTAAGAACATCTTGGATTCATAATAATAATAATAATAATAATAATAATAATAAAAAAAACACGAGAACATTTGTATTTCTTATAGAACTTTTGAAACAGGTCAAAAATGTCTTTTTCCAGCAAATGGGAAGTGAAAAAAACAAGAGAAAATAGCTAATTCGAGACAAGAGTAGGCAAACATGACCTTTGATTTAGGGATTTTCCAGTTAATCCACATATTCTCTATTTCTCCTGCAATTGCTTCACCAGTGTGGGATCCTTTGAACTCGTTTGCATGCAGCACCACACAATGCAGATTTAACGATTCAGTGTGCACCGAACAAAAGTGGAGAGATGTCACTGCTCCAGATATTAGTTGTGAAGCTTATGGCCTGCACTCTTTCAAACTACCATGAAACATGCTCCCTTACTTTGTCTGAGAGCAGAGACAACAGTCTCTGTGATTTATTTACGGCTTGGGACCTTGTATTATGGAACCATGTGAGCCATAAAAAGCTGATATCCCACATTGTCAACAAAGAAGGGGGGCAGGTTACAGAGCACAATAATTTCTGTGATTTTCGGGAACATCTTTCTTGCTGTATGCCTCTTCTCATCCCACCTTTGAAGTGAACTGACTGGGGTTTATAGCTGTGGTCCATTCCCCTTGCTCTTGGTCGCTGATACCGTCACAAACTCTTGGTGTTCATTAACAAATGTTCTCAAATGTTTTATCAGGTTTGACGTTTTGAAGCTGGCCATTTTAGCTCCACCTCTTGCAACATTCGCGCCACAAAACTTTTACACGTACAATAGCTGTTGTACTCGCTGGGCTTTCATTTTGCTCATTTTCTCTCCTATGTCTCACTGGTTTGTTTTTCCTCAATATGTAAAAGCAGCCCCATCATTGGTTCAGAGCGTCCACTCTGGGCCAATAGCGATAGCTTGGCTCCGCATGTACTGTATTGAATACGTCACCACACATCAGTGAGTGTCAAGCAAGACATATGTTCAATGGGCTATACGAGTATCGGTAATTGCCATCGGTGCGTTATTTGTTAGAATTTGCAGGTATCGACACCAGTGTTTAAATGGTGTGTTGGGCTCTCCCGATACTAGTATTGGAAGCGATACAACACTAAAACACACACACACATCTATCTATCTCTCTCTCTCTCTCTCTCTCTCTCTCTCTCTCTCTCTCTCTGTATATATATATATATATATATATATATACATATATCCACTAATTCAACGAGATAGGAAGGTGCTCAGCAATGTTAGATTTTAGGTCAGTAAAAAACCTTGAAATTGCATTTCAAAGGTTCCTTTATTTTTCCCACACTCCAATGATGGGCAGGCACCCCAGAGACCCAACAAATCGTTAAAAGGCCCTAAAAAAAGGCACTTTTCTGCAATAAAATATGTCAAGTGCAAAATTCCCATGGAGAAATTTGACTGACAGTTTTAAGACGGGCACTTAACTTTAAATGTTAAAAAATTTGAAGCACGTTGTCCTCTTTTGTCGGCTTAATTGTGAGCGATTTGGTTTTCACTGCTCACGCTACATTCCAATTCAACTTGTGTACATCTTTATGTGCGGTGACATGCTCACGGCTAAATGGAAAACCATTGCCATTGACAGGGGATTTGCCCAACTTTTTTTTTTTTGGCAACACATTTCAACCAGTAAGCTGCACCTCATCACATATTGTAAAGGCAGAAGCAAGGCGAAAGAGTCACACTCTTTATTTGAACAGTTTGCTTTCTTTCCAACCTCCTTCCAGAGATCGACAATATTTTCACAAAGAGGTGATCTCCACACACGAATACCATCTAATACCATCGACACATCTGCAATATTTTCCTTCAAAAGTCTTCATTTTAACACACGGAGACAACGAGTGGATGTTTCCCAGCTGCTTCATAGCAGAATGAGGACAGCCAGCGTAGGAGGAGAGACAGCGTCTGGACTTGATGTCTGCTCTCCTCCGCACACATGCAAAAAAACTGTTGATCCAAGGATCACAAGAGCCAAAAACACACGCTGCTTTCCTCGACTCCTGATGATATTTTCATATATTTTCTCCCTCTTAAGCTGTGCTCGGGGTGTCGGGACTGCAGCCAGGCAGGCGGGAGCTCGGCGGGAGATATCCCCTTACGCATGAGGCGAACCGGAGCCAGCAACAAGAAGCGAGGAGGTGCACGGGCCCGCATGGAGCTGGAGTACAAGGTTAGAATAGTGACAGTTAGAAACGTGCCTTATTTGGACACATTTGACAATCAAACCACTGTGAGGAGAAGTAAATGCATGTTAAAACACAAGATATAATAAAGTAAAACACTCATAGCAATTGGATCCATACGACTGCTTTTTATTATAATTACATACACCAAACTTTGATCAACTTAATATATGTGTAAATTAACAACATGGGCGGCACAGTGGTTGAATAGTTAGCACATTCGCCTCATCGTGCAGATTTGCAGGGTTCGATTCCGGCTCCGGCCTTCCTGTGCGGAGTTTGCATGTTTTCCCCGCTCCTGCGTGGGTTTTATCCGGGTACTCCACCTTGCTCCCATATTCCACAAACATGCACGGCAGGCGAATGGAACACTCTAAATAGTCCCTAGGTGTGATTGTGAGTGCAAATGTTTTTTCGTCTATGTGTTCAAGTGGCCCGCAACCAGTTCAGGGTGTTCCCCGCCTACTGTCCGAAGACAGCTGGGATAGGCTCCAGCATGCGTGCAACCCTCATCATGATAAGCCGAGTAGAAAATAGATGGATGGAACTATCCAAACTAACAACATATGTTGAAAGGATCTACTCATCTAAACATTTTTAAAAAGTCACGCCTTGCTTTACTACGATCACCAATAGTGGACGCTAAATTGCTTTTCCTCACTCAAACAGAATGCATTTTTGGAGTATCTGCATTGGATGATGGAGACTCATTTCCAGCAAAAACCTAACACTGGCACAAAAAAAAAACAAGAAAAAACATTCAGTAAGGCATTTATGTTTTCAATGTAAAGACATGTAAAATCATTAATAATATTAAAGATGGTAAAATTCCTGTACAGTTAGCTGGTGACAGTTTATAATTTCTTTATCTTCTACTATGTTAATCATTCTTTTGAAATATAATCAACTTTGGACTGTGTGTGTGTGTGTGTGTGTGTGTTCAGCACTGTACACCTCAAGGCTCTCATCGGGCTTGCGGGGACGAGCATTGACATGGGTTTGGAAAAATGTCAGGGAGTGGTCAAGACCAAAAACATCCTGGAGCCTCTTCTTGACAGCCCCGTAGTCCTCCTTGACTGTGGGGGAAAGGCTATCCCAGTACAGAAATGCAGCCTCAGCTAACCTTGTTGGTAAAACTGAAGCCAGCACAGATGACAGGTCAGCGGATGGTTGGTTGTACATGGCTTGCATAGACATCTCAAAACGTCGAGACCAGCTAGTAAAGGAAACAGTCCCATCACCTTCAAAAACCGGTGGTAAATCAATGTTGAGGCGTCCTGGTGGAGTAACATTCACAGCAGCCATATCAGTAGCAGTAGAATCAACCATTGCAGTGGGTCGACTCATGGACGTCTCGGTATCGGGCATGGTGAGATCAAAAAGGTTGAATAACGATGGTAAAAATGTCCAAAAAGAAGGAAGGGGGGAAAAAATCAAACTGCAGGAAACCTCAAAATCTCATCCAAAATGCTGACTAGCAGCAGCCATTCAGTAGAGCAATAACAATCCACGTGGCTAGCAGGACGACAATTAGCAAGAAAAAAATCGTTGCATAAAAAGAGTCAAAAAGCCACACAAAACATACCACCACCGTTGCCACCAATGTAAGTTGAGAGGTTCGTAGTTTTTCAGTGGATAGCTCTACTTTAAAAATGGGCAAAAGGAGAGATGGAATCCTTTGAAGGCAGTTTTATTTTCCCAACGTCTGCACCCCCGAATGAACAAACAAGGACACACCTCCTTCCCGGAAACACCAAACACTTCCTGGTTTCCTTAACCAATCAGATAAAATCAACATAAACTTGTTTCAGCAATTATTAAACAGAATATAACCGAGGTAACTGTAACATAACAGAACATAATGCTCAAATATAAAATGAAAATAATTAATAATTTAACATACGCTTACAAGTTTATGAATGGAAAGTTTACTTTTAAAAAGTTGCCAGATTGTTCCACATGACAAGACCAAAGTTACCTGTATGTTTTGCAGTCGTAAATTGAGCTATCATCATAGCACGTCGGGTCTGAAATACCACAGAATGGCCAAGCACACAGCTGACGTGAGTACTCCGCCCCCTCGTCTCAGACAGACAGCTATGGATAATTTCAAAGCGAAGAAAATGGATAACACGACGAAGAACAAATTTGCTGAAGCCATAGCTAAATGTATGGCTACTGCATGCAAGCCTGTCAACATTGTCCACAGCTC